TATCGTATGATGCTTAACCTCAAACTGTCTCAAAGTTGCGCGTGACTGTGTCGTTTTGGCGGCAAGGCCACGCGTATTGTTGCGGAACGGACTCGTATATTCGGTTGTGCCGAAAGGAAACCGGTGAAGGGGGAATTTCGTCGAGCAGGGTAGCGTCAAGGTTCAAGGATCAAGAATGGCGGAGCACCAGAGAAGTGAGTCTATTAGACTGAAAATGACGGATGCTTTTTGTGCGCGCGGTGCATCTTAAGATATTTCGCAAAGATATAATGGCGCGCTCTCAAGAACGGCGCAAAAAGGCTCACCAAGGTTCAGCGATAAAATTAAATTGCAGAAGAGGACGAGAGAGGGACAGACCGTGTTTTCGAGATTAAACGCGCCCGACGTGGCGACGTCGTTATGAGAAAACTCGTCGATAATGCATCATACGATGTGGTTTTTTCTCGTCACGCGATCGCGAGCGATTGCCGCGTCATGATAAATTCCACGCACGCGATAATGACCGAATGACGAATATCGTCTGTCTTATCGTGAAATATATAATGTGTATCATACAGTGATAAATTTTTACGGGATTTAATCCGTAGATGAAATTTCAGATTTTTAAATTCAGGTCTCTTGATCTTTTTGAATAAGCTTGCATGACAGCGTGGTTTTATCAACACACGTACTTATCATTTCTTGAGATAATCGACGCAAAATATTTTCTGTTCATTTAAAGTACATATTTTGAAATAATATATATATATATATATATACATATATATATGTATATATATATATATATATATACCTATATTTGAAATTTAAAGAAATTTGAATTTTAAATGATTGTTATACATAATAAATATTATATAATTAATTTATGTTTATTTATTTATATGTTTTAATTATTCTTATATACATACTTATACAAAATTTATATGAATATAATAAAATATATATGAATGTACAGTATATATACAGAACGTATGTTTATACCCATATAGTACAGAAAGATTGCAAAATGATTGCATATATATATCTATTGCAATATTGTAATATTGCAAATAGATTTCGCAATGTATTTGCAACATTGTTGCAATGTCATAGCATCATAAAAATGTCCGCCTTTAACAAAATTGCGCTGTAATGTCATAACAATATTGCAGCGCAATGTATTTGTAACTATTATTTAAAATAGTTCTTTTATTATTATTGAATATAGTTTGAAATACAATTTGTGATATAACTAAAAAAATGCAGAAAATGAACTAATCAATATATGTTTTATATTATATATAATTTTATATAATTATATTTTGTACTTAATTGCAAATATTTTATATGCAGGTATACATTATATATATTTTAAAGTTTATGTATATGGACATATATATTTACACTTTTTTGTAAATATATATTTTACACTTTATACAAGTATGTCTATTTTGTACATATTCTTAACTGGTGAAATGGAAATAATAAGATACTCCATGCATTCTATCTCATTTTCTTTGTAATATTCAAAGAATTTTTTAAATCCAAATATTTTCCAAAAAATTATGAGAGTCGATTATAAAGTTTAAAAAATCTTGTCGCGCGATGGCGACAAATGTTTCAATCATTATAATTTCTAAATTAATGGAAATAATAAACAATTATATAACGTGTAATAGACGCATGTTTCCATATGTGATAGCAGTTCATTACTCAAAAGCTGAAATGTTTTTAATGTCTCTGTAAGAATGCTGCAAGATTTGTAAAATCTTGCGCCGTAATAGGTATATATTATATGTTGCAATTTCTGATATCTACAATGTTGTAGCGATATTACAGCGCAATCTGCAATTATGTTGCAATGTTTCTGCAATGATACTGCAAGTTTCTGTGTTGTATGGGTAATTATAAATTAGTATATATATATATATATATTTGTATAATATATAATGTATAATAATTATTAAATATTTATATCTGATTATAAATACATATCTTTAACGAAGCATATAAATTATTTATTACAGGAATCTCAATAAATGCAAGAAGATTATTGTTTATGATACATGCAAGAAGATTATTATTTATGATACTATTATTATTGCTTTATCGATTAAATTAACACAATTTTTTAGATATTTTTGAAAAAATCATTATCTTAATTAAAAGAAAACTATTGTATTTTGAGATTTTAAAAGTGATATTGAAAGATAGAGAATATAATAAAAGTAGAATGGCCTAAGTTTCTTTTATAGTGAAACGAAACTAGCATCTCGAAATCGGAGAACAGCTTGGCTACCCTAGATTTTGACATAATTTTATTTACAGTGTTTCGCAGCGGCGAGTTAATTTAATTCACTCCGGACTGCCTTGAAAAGTAGGTCCGCGTCATTTGCCCGAGGCACATGTAAAGAAATATATTGCATAAATGCAATTATGTTTCTACATCCTTTATCGTTTATAAACTTTATAATTATGATGACTTTACGTTTTCTTTCGTAAGAATGTATTATTAGAATCAGTGAGTCGGGAATGCGATTATTAGAAATTCATAATATTATTTTAATTAATTTTTAAAGTAATAAATAAGCATAAAATTTTAAATAAACTTTTTTCATAAACATAATAAACGATTATAAATTTTTTTGTCGATTATCTTACGAAGTGATTGTTTTGTAAATATGGTTATTCCTGTTATTACTGGATTTCTTTTTACATTCTTGGAATACAGTATTAGATAAGAAATGAATAGATAAATGAAATTCAAATAGGATAAAAGGAAATAGACATGTCTTGCTAAATTTAAAGTCATTCTTTAGTTTTACTATGTCACGATCGCTATATTTTATGTGCATTTCAAGTGAGCCAACAAGGAATTTAAATTTCAAAATTCTCTCACGGTCCGATATCGTACTTCCAACCTTCGCACATAATGTCAAAGTTTCAACAGAACGCATTATTGTAATCTAAAGTGTAATATGAAATCCGATAATCTTAATCTTCAGAAAACATTTATATCGGAAAAGATTAAAGAATCATAGCGGCAATTTTTTATTTTATCAATTGTGTATAAAGGTAGAAATGTACCTTTATACTTTCTTGGCGATTGATAAATCTCATTACATATCATCGATTAAATGATATTAAATGATAATAAATGATTCACTGCTGTTGCGAAAAGATGGCTTGATTGAGACAATTTTGTTTTACTAATCAGCAGAAATGCGCCTCTTCCCACCGAATAAACTGAATAACGAAATTATTAACTTAATAAAAAAAGGTAACATAAGTATTAGAAATAATGAAATAAAACAAAACAATTGGATTTAAAATAATCTTGCATGAATCATTTTCAAGTTCAACAGTTAAGTATTGTAAATATCGATCAAACCATTGCGCATTGTGGAGGTCTTGAACCTCTAATTGATGGAAAATCACGTAGATCGCATATAATGAAACCGATTGCTATCAATTGGAAGTCGTCCATGAAAATAGAAGCACGAGAAAACATATTACATCGCTATGATGCTACTTAAGAACTGCGTACTCATCGGTACTCTCGATTGCCTAGTAGTTCATTGATTTGCCAGTCATCGTTATCATGAGACTCATAACACAATACGAGTATCTTCGCATGCATGATTTGTGCGTGGTGTCCACTGCTTTTACGCGTGCATAATAACAAACGAACAATGTTTCTCTAAATTTTATAATTTGATAATAATAAATAAATTATTACTGTTATTTTAACATATATATTTTGTGAATATTTTCCTATTTCATCTAAGTTTTTTTGTGAAACAATACATATCTTTACAATATCTTTATTTTAGACCGTATATGTGAGAAACACAATCAATATTTATAGAAATTTAAAATGCCTATTACGGTCGAAGCTCGATCTTTGTTGCTTACATAAGTCAATCTTGAATTACTAATATATACTGTATATGTACTTGCATATATACCATATTGTAGTCTTTTTCAAACTGCGCGCCGAATTATTTTTCCGGACTAAATAAACGCAATTAAAATTACTCTAGTAATCGCGAATTAAAATGACAAGCAATTTAATAATTTGATGCTACCATCAAGCATCATATATTATAAGGATGTTAATATGTTAAAACTGTTAATAAATTTACATATCTTTAACATATCTTTTTCATAATTTTTAAGAGAATGTGTCTTACTTTTTGCATTATTCTGTCTCTATAGTTCTCTAAAATCTTTAGAGTGGAATATTAATTCTAAAGAATGACAATCGAACCAGTGTCGAAAGAAGAGTGGCTCAATCGTCAATTTTTAAGAGTGAGAGTTTACTCTTTAGAATTAGACTCTACTTCAAAGATTTTACTTTTTGTATCATTGTGCGTCATCTTGAACGTCACATTTCCATGTAAATTATAATATTATGTATATAATAATAATTATAGTAAAAATACAACAATAATGCACGATATAATTATGTAACTATAGGTCTGTTATTTTTACCTGAACTTCTTGCAAGATTCATCTTCTCTCATGTTGAAGAAAAACAGAGAAGAAAAATGAATCGTTATACAAAAAGTTTAGCTAAAAGAACAGACCTTATAATAATACACAATATCCCGATGATGCTCGAGATCAGATTATTTCGCAGACAGATGCCTCGTTGATTTCAATCGCGTTGGTGCTTCTAACGGTCGCTGGAATTTCTCTGTTCTGGGAATAGTGTTTGTACGAATTGCAAGAGAGATTTAGCTAAGTTTAGCAATGTATATTGCATACATTGTGATGTATAAGAATGAAACTGAGTCATCAAAATCATTATGCAATGCGCCATATTCTCCAGTATATATTACACATGCATTGCACTTGTGTAAATAGAATCTACACGCGACTTTTAATTGTAAACAAAATATTCAAGTAACAGCAAATTCTCACGCAGGAGAATGTACGATTATGTAATCAGATTCGCTGATAAAGAAAACTTTATCGCTTGTTTATGATACCTATTCTATAGCGTAATGGTCCATGATTATCAAAAAATTTGATAAAACCTTATCTTTATATTCAATATATTATCGAGGAATATGCTGAAAAATTAAAGTAGAAGTAAAAAAATTATATTGTTTGTAATAGGCAAATTTTGTAATAATTTCAAGATGGCATTTGTAATCATTTAGATATTATATATTGTTTGATATATTGTTTGATAAAAAAAATCCTTACTATATCAATGATCAAGTTATCTTAAACATACAGATTTACATTTAAAATTATGTTTATGTTTGCTATGTCATTTAATTAATTGGTTGTTATTATAGCTAAATACTTAATACAAGCTAAATAGTTGATTTTGAAAACTCCATATAATTTTCTACCTGCGCTCTACTGAATTAAATATATTTTTGAAATAATGAAGGAATTGAATTTTTTTATGGAAAATGATTGGGTGATCGATTTATCTATCTTCGAGGGTACTCCATAATTGCCTCGTAAGCATTTATGTTTGCCTGATTGCACGTGGTACGTACATGCGAGGCAAATCCGATGCTCAGTCGAGGTTCCGCTGGTGAAGCGGCGAGACTGTCGAAGGAGATCGGCAAGAAACCTGCTGGCACTCATAGTCAGTCGATCACGTGACTTTTTTCGTGTCTGTTCCTGTGCGATTTGTTTGTAAAATCATGAATTCTGTGATGAAAACCATGAATACTTTATCGAGTAAGTTAAAAAAAAAGTTTTTATATGACTTCAGCGAATTCGTAGATCGCCATTATTTCGTGTAAATTCAAACTAAACTATGTTTACGTGTCGTATTTCTATCCGAAAAAGTGATGACTTCAAAATACTACGCGGTTAATTACTAACCGTATATTTTGATCAATAATATATCCAGAATCTCTTATTTGGTGATTAATTATTGTTAGCAAAATTCATTATTTTTCTTCTAAATATACTGAAAGCTAATAATTTGAAATATTTATGAACTTATAATTTAAAAAATGGTAGTTAAATGATAATTATCTCTTCTTATCATATTATAAGTAACAATGACATAAATAATATTATGTATTCTGTTACTGTGTGTGATTATAAGTGTGGAAAATACATAAAATGTGTGATCTCTGAACTTTTGTGTGCATCAAATATGTTAAATAGGGGAAAAATAAAATACGTAAATTTTTTGTTAATTTTTTAAAGTCATTAATCTTCACATGACATATATAGTAAGCTCCAAAGTTTCCTGTCTTCAAGGATATAAAAGATGAAAAACTGAGACAATCCTTTCCTATTTCTCAATATTAACTATATACTGTTTATTTTAATACATTTTATAGAATGATTTAATTTTTGTAAACCAATGAAAAATATTTTTTGTCCTTAAAATAATTTAATTGTAGGACTAACTTTTTCATTAATAGTAAATATTTTTCCGCGCAAATTTGCAAACTTCAATTTTGCAAATAAAAATTATTACCTAGTGATCATTTTTTATTTTTAAAATTAAAGTTCAGTTCACATAGAGAAAAATTTATCAGTAAAGAAGTATGTAAATAATAAAAAAGTAATGTCCGCAGTGTTGAATCATTTTAAGGACAAAAATTCAGAATATTTTTTTAAATATGATATAGAAAAATTGATTCATTTAAAAAAAAATGCGTTAATGAATGTATATTAAAAAGATAAATGTATTAAAAAATAAAAATGATTGTTTTATTTTAAACTTTTTTCATATCCTTGAGTTGAAAACTTTTGAACTTTATATTTGTTGCATCTTTCTCTCTCGTGTTTTTAGTTTCTTTCGTTTCCTTTTTTGTTTTTACATATCAAGTCTTATTTAACTTTTAAATAATTGTTTTAGTAGTAAAAAATTGTGCATGGATGTTGTAACGTAACACACATGATGATCTCTTTCAAAAATCAATTGGGAAACTTATTTTTATTCCTATATTTAAATAAGTGGTTTTAGCGTCTGTAAAATCTTGCAGTTACCTTTGAACGATGTCAAATTACACAAGAGAATTCATAACTAATTATGTAAATGTAAAAAGTTTTTTTTTACATTAACCGACACGAGCATAAGGCATATGTTTATATCATCGACATCTAGAATGGACCGCTGATGGCAATGGTGGATGTAGAAAGACGATTAGAGTGAGAGGTAGGAATAATAAGATCGTTCTTTCTCTGTTTACTGAGCCTGATTGGTTGTTGTTAATCCAACAGTAGTTAGAAACAACAGTAAACAGGGAAAGAACGATCTTATTATTCCTGTCTCTCACTCTAATCGTCTTTCTACCCCCACCATTGCCATCAGCGGTCCATTCTAGATGTCGATGGATTATATCCAAGGTGAATTTTAAAATGTAAACACAAGAATGTAAAGAGAGACAAGGATTTCTCTCTTATTGGAGCTTTTACAGGATATACATTGCACTGAGAAAAATGATCTGGTTGGTTTAAATAGTAATTCTGGTGGAAAATGGACGAATCAGAATTTTCTGGTTATGTGTCTATTAAAATTTTATCACGATTGTGAAAAATATAAAATTTATCTGATTTATAAAAAATTCAATGTGTTGTTGGTATTTTAATAAAAGAAAAACCATAGTTTCTACACGCCGAAAGAAGACGTGAAAAATTTTCTACATTTTATATTAGACGTGAATATTTCTATGTGATTAAGTGTTGGAAAAGTTATTTTATACAACAAAGATAGCATTTCAAATATACCGAACTTGAATATTTTTAACGTTAGGTAATATTAAAGCAGTAATATGATTTTACTCCGAAGTTTTTAATTATTTTTATTGCATTAAAATTACATGAACTGTCGTCTTTTATATTAGAGAATTAATATTATAAAATAAATTATTTCTAAAATAATTGATTATTAATAAGGATTATGTTCTATTTTTTGGTAAATATAGAAATAGATATAGCCTTACAAATACAGAGATAGATATATCCTTACAAATATTTAAATGATTACACGTGATGTTGTTTTAGCATAAAATTTAATTTTACAAATAGCAAAAGACGTAAAAAACATCATATGTTTGCAAATTTTAAACGTCATTTTTTGTATTTCAATAATGTATTCAAGTGTGTCGTATTATATTAGCTTTTGAAACTTCATGTGTATTTGTAAATTGTAAATTCAGAAAAATAAATTTAAAAAAGGTGACTTGCCAATAATTCTCACTTATTCATATATATAAAAACGTGTAATAAATTAATCATATGTGACTAATAGAAAAATATTAATTACTAAAAACGTGATATACAATGAAACTTTTTGATAATTCATTTAGATGAGCATTTACAATATTAATAAAATGCGTTATAAATATTACAAAATAATACAGAGGGTATTGAAATTTTGTAAAAGAATTCCTTAAGAGAATTCCCGGATTTTTCAAACATTTTTGTTCAAAATTGCAGATAAAATCGAAGAATTTTTTAATACAATTTTGAAATAAATTAGAGTGCAAGTAACGCCAAAATAAACTATATATTGAAAATTAACAGAAGACAACGATTCTACGAGACTATATTCATCGTTTTCCACAATCGAAGCCGTGAAACCTTTAAGGGTTGCATAGCGTAATCAAAGGAATACTAGGGAATAGGAAACGGAGAATTATAAGAATTCTAATCTATCAGAAATCATATATTGTGGGATATATTCAGTTTCTAATAGATTAAAATTTTTATTTTCTATTATCTGTTCCTTTGATTGTCCGCAGCCCCTTAAGATAGTAATAGGGAAGGCTCACTATATGAAATAATTTTGTTGAGTATAGTCTTCTATGATCACCTTGATTTTTCTAGAAACTCGAGTATTAATATGAATATATGTGTATGCCGTACTTATTATCAACATTTTGCATTATAAAAAAATTATTAAAAAAATAATGTTTTTCAGAAAGAGACAAAGTTTAAGTTAAGAGTAAAATTCCAAAAATTTCCCTAACATCCAATAAAATCCCATAAAAATTCTTAATATATTTCAAGGGTAAAAAAGAAATCCCTTGACAATTCTAAATAGTAAACATCCTGTTAAATTAAATAAAACTATAATGTTACTCAATGGAAACTAATATCAACCGTAGGAGCGTCAACGGAGGAGAGCCTGCAGTATATCAGGCAATCCCTGAAATCAGAAGAAATGGATCATCTGGAAGGAACTCATTTTGATAGGCTCATCCCGCACGTGTTTGTTACTTTTGGAGCGTCTGTGAGTTTATAATTTTGAAAACATAAGATATACAAATTAAAGTTGCAAACTGATTGCAACTAAATCTATGTTCCACTTGATGCTTGCAAAGCTTTTAGAATCATTTCATTCTTGTTGTTTATCAAGTGTCAAATAAGAACAAATAATACTCACGAGCACCAAGTGGAATGCGCTCTAAATTAATATATTTGTTTATTCATTTGCGAATAATAAATTCAAATATCTCAATTTATATAACACAACAATTTAATTTATTAAGGCCTATAAAGATGGCCGTAATTGAGTCATGGAATGTAAGTCGTAGTTGTATTTGTAGGTTGACCAAACGTCGATAACCTATGACTACAACTCACGTTTCATGATTCAGTTACGGCCATTTTTGCGATGAGGTCTTTATTCATCAGAGACGTATCATTTTTGTTGTGAGTTAAATTTATTGACTGATAATGAGTTCACTCATGTTTAAAGGGGCACAGTTAAAAATTAAATTATCATGCAAAGGTGTTAGAGTTTAAATTGATAAAGTTTTCATTATAATGATACGTTTTCATGGGATTTATATTTATCCTCACTTATTATTGTTTTTTTCTGACCTTTTGTGCATTATAAATGAAATGTTATTCCCGTTGAATTTCCTAAAATATAAATATAAAAAATAGCCAATTACAGACGTTAGTTTTTGCATAAAACGCTCAATCAACAATCAATAAAGTATTAATTTTTGTGCATTATTCAGTATTATAAAAGCAATTTTTAACAATTTTTCAATAATTATGTTTGCTTTAGTTAGGAACATAATTGTATCAGAATTTTCAACTATACCAAATCGAAATTTTCTTTTTTCGAATATTAAAATTCAATTGCAATTTTTCGGAGATTAACTGTGTAATAATTAATGAGCATACATTCATTTTTGTTTAGTCAATTTTGTTTTCAATTTTTAATTAAAATATTACATTTGTTGATGACAAAAAGGGTGACCTTGCCAGGAAGAAAATTTATCCAACTCTTTGGTGGCTCTTCAGAGACAATCTTTTGCCGAAACCAACCACTTTCGTCGGCTACGCTAGAAGTAAATTGACAATACAACAATTACGTGAGAAATGTCATCCGTACATGAAAGTGAAGTCAAACGAGGAGGAGAAATATGAAGAATTTTGGAAGCTAAATCATTACATCGCTGGCTCTTACGATCAGAAGAAAGACTTTGAACAACTGAATCGTAAATTAGAAAATTTTGAGGAAGGGAACACTGCGCACAGGCTATTTTATTTGGCGTTACCACCGAACGTATATGAAAGCGTTACGACGCGCATTCGACTTACCTGTATGGGAGATAAGTAAGCACCAATTTTAAATATACAATGCACGAAACAAATTTTCCATTTAAAACGAGATAGTTGACAAGCAGGCAATAAGAATTAAAAAGAGAAAAGATAAATTAAAATTATATTTTTAAAGTTCCAAATTATTTCATTGATAAATACATGGAATGTATATACCTAATAATGTATATTTAGTAGAATAATCTAAATACAGAAAAAGATTTAAATTATTCTACTAAAAATATGTATTAGGTATAAACATAATTAGATATAAATTATATAGTATGTATATAGTATGTATATAGTATGTATAAAAATATATCAAATTTCAGAGGATGGACGAGAATTATAATCGAGAAACCATTCGGCCGCGATGCCGTCTCGTCGCAGAAACTCTCCGATCACTTGGCGACGCTATTCAGCGAGGATCAAATCTACCGTATCGATCACTATCTCGGCAAAGAAATGGTGCAGAATCTGATGACCTTAAGATTTGGAAACAGAGTGTTCAACCCAACATGGAACCGGGACAATGTAGCCTCGGTGCAAATCACATTCAAAGAACCATTCGGCACTCAGGGTCGAGGCGGCTATTTCGATGAGTTTGGCATCATCAGAGATGTGATGCAGAACCACTTGGTGCAAATTTTGTCCTTGGTAGCCATGGAAAAACCTGCATCTTGCCATCCGGATGATATCAGAGACGAGAAGGTGAAGGTTCTCAGATGTATCAAAAATGTGCAACTTGATCAGGTAGTTCTCGGTCAATACGTCGGAGATCCAGATGCTGAGGATCCGGAGGCATGTTTGGGCTACTTGGATGATACCACAGTACCAGCCGGTTCAAATACGCCGACATTCGCGTCCGCAGTACTAAAGATAAACAATGAGAGGTGGGACGGCGTACCGTTCATCCTGAGATGTGGAAAAGGTAAGAAGATTGTGGAAAGTTCATTTCTCGACAAATAAAGCCTCTTTTTTTAATCATGTTATGTTGTAGCGCTAAACGAAAGAAAAGCAGAAGTAAGAGTACAGTACCAAGATGTACCGGGTGATATTTTTGATGGAAAGGCAAAGAGGAATGAATTAGTGATAAGAGTACAACCAGGCGAAGCGTTGTACATTAAAATGATGACAAAATCACCTGGAATAACGTTCGACATGGAAGAAACGGAATTGGATTTCACTTATGGTAGTAGATATAAAGTAAGTAACTTCTGTGATAGAAGAATTTATCAAATTTTAAGTATACCAGGTATGTAAATATGAAACCGGAATTTACCAATATAGATGGCCATAGCTGTCAATGTAGTTACCGTCAGACAGTCAGACCGCGTCATTGACGCCATTTCCTTGTTCTGACATCTGACAAAGATTTTCAACTCACAACAATACAAGTTTCATACAACAGTATAGTTTGTAATAGCGTTGAACATGTCGAATTTTGTGCCTGGAAACTATGATTTGCGGACAGCATTGATTTTCTGTTACCATTTGAAGAAAACTGCTGCAGAATCGCATCGAATGCTTGTCGAAGCTTACGGTGAGCATGCTCTTGGTAAATCACAATGCTTTGAGTGGTTTAAAAAATTCAAAAGTGGCGATTTTGACGTGAGAAACGAAGAACGTGGAAAACCACCGAAAAAGTTTGAAGACAGCGAATTGCAAGCATTGACTACATTTACACGGCACCCTTCGAGTTTAATAACATCCGTAGTTATGAAACTGGCCAATCACAATCATTCCATTCTCTCGAGGCTATGATTGGCCAATTTCGTAACTACGGATGTTATTAAACCCGATTAAGCGTGCCGTGTAGCAGAGGTCATTGTTGGATGAGGATGACGGCTCAAACTCAACAATAACTCGCGGATCAATTGAATGTGACACGAGAAGTCGTCTCCATACGTTTGAAATCCATGGAAAAAATCCAGAAGATGGGTTCCACATGAACTGAATGAAAGACAGCAGGAAAACCGAAAAACCACTTGCGAAATGCTGCTCGCTAGGTACAAAAGAAAGTCAT